ATTCTAAGAATAAACAAATTTGCATGTCTCCATTAAGGACTTAGTATGTATATATAGTATGTAACAATATCTTATGTAACATACATACTAAAAAGCAAATAAATAAATCAATAAGTAGATGACGATGTAAGAAGAAGCATTTTTAATCGATTTTGGAGTCTTACTTGGGGCGAAAAACCTCTTGTGAACGAATGGGTAACAACTATACAAATTATCCGGCAACGAAATCGAAATACCGAAGGGACAACCTAGAGGGCTAATACCTTCATTTATAGGAAGATGGGCGGTTCAAAATTGGAAGCAGGAGTTTTCAATACGGCCTCCTATTTGAATCTGCTTTGAAGCCGAAACAATCTCTTATTCAGTTTCTGGAGTCTCTTCCCGTAATGGAATCTCATTATTATCGAGCAACGTCACAGAAGCTACGAGTCATCGATTGATTTTCTTATATAATAATAATTGTACAATTATATTATATACTAGCGAACCGCCAAAATTTTAAATATAAGCCACTCTCGAATCAACTTAATCACACAAAATATTATCGAATTCGGTCCAACCGTTTATTAGTTCAGTCACATATATGTATATTTATTTTATTATTATAAATAAATATTATATTTCGAATTTATAGATCCAAATTTAAAAAAAAATCGTTTGGCGTTCCACAGGGTAGTGTACTAGGTCCACTTTTATTTTTGATATATTTAAACGACTTATCTGAGATTACTAAATATAGAAGTACTTTATTCGCAGATGACGTCGCAGTAATAGTCATAACAAATAAAAATATGTCACTGACGAAACATATTTTTGACAAAAGATTTTACAAAAATTTACTTCGCAAATATCCGCGTTATAAAATAAAATGATGTGTCTTACCTAGTATGAAGAAGCACCTCCCGCCCTCCCTCAATTGCGTGCACTATCCCCGTCACCACTAATCCCAGCACCGCTACTTCCAACACCACTACACTAGGCAAGACACACCAATGACGATAATACGACACGTGTTTCGCCTCTACACGAGGCATCCTCAGGTGATATAGACTCTACGGTGACTAACCGCTAAGTGAGCGGCGAGCCAAAACAAGTGCCTTTTATACAAACCGATGATGCAACCGCTCTCCACCTAAGTAGCGAGCGACTGCGTCATGCGATAAAACATGCGACCAATCACCGCTGGACTTACGCAGCCGTTTGTAAAATTAAAAAACAAACCGCCGCGCAACGCCCACATTATTAGAGAGCAGGCTTGAAGATATTTAATAGAGGTGAGTTAGTAACATTTGTTTGTTCATTCAGCAATGCAACGGTATTATTATTACTTTTTAATATCTCTAACTGTTCCAGCACACACAGCCGCAGCCCTTTATTACACGTATGTAAGACTTTAAAGGAGTGGTCGTTGGCTAGGTTGTGTCCAGTGTCCAAAAGATGTTTGGCAAAATGTGATTTATCGGGATTGCAATTCCTGTACGCGGCTAAATGCTCTTTATAACGTGTCTCGAAATTGCGACCAGTCTGACCCACGTAAACGGCGTGGCATTCGTCACAAACAAGTTTATAAACACCTGACTTTTGACGAATATCCAACTTATCTTTACTATTACAGATATTTCTAAGAGAATTGTTTGTTTTGAACGCCACATGAACGCCGTTTTGTCGAAGAGTATTAGCTACTTTTTCAGATATGGGGCCTAAGTAGGTCAAACTGCTCACATATCGATGAACACTTTGAGGTTGAACCGCGTACAGAGAGTTGCGAATAACATGCTTTTGTTTCTTTTTAATTAAATTGTTAATGAGATTTTTTGAAAAACCGTTAGAGACCGCTATTTGATAAATTATATTAAGTTCTTTTAAATAATTTTCTTTACTTAATGGGACAGTGAACAAACGGTTAATGTAACAATAAAAAGCGGCTACTTTATGTTGCCATGGATGACATGATTTACGTGGGTCAGACTGGTCGCAATTTCGAGACACGTTATAAAGAGCATTTAGCCGCGTACAGGAATTGCAATCCCGATAAATCCCATTTTGCCAAACATCTTTTGGACACTGGACACAACCTAGCCAACGACCACTCCTTTAAAGTCTTACATACGTGTAATAAAGGGCTGCGGCTGTGTGTGCTGGAACAGTTAGAGATATTAAAAAGTAATAATAATACCGTTGCATTGCTGAATGAACAAACAAATGTTACTAACTCACCTCTATTAAATATCTTCAAGCCTGCTCTCTAATAATGTGGGCGTTGCGCGGCGGTTTGTTTTTTAATTTTACAAACGGCTGCGTAAGTCCAGCGGTGATTGGTCGCATGTTTTATCGCATGACGCAGTCGCTCGCTACTTAGGTGGAGAGCGGTTGCATCATCGGTTTGTATAAAAGGCACTTGTTTTGGCTCGCCGCTCACTTAGCGGTTAGCCACCGTAGAGTCTATATCACCTGAGGATGCCTCGTGTAGAGGCAAAACACGTGTCGTATTATCGTCATTGGTGTGTCTTGCCTAGTGTAGTGGTGTTGGAAGTAGCGGTGCTGGGATTAGTGGTGACGGGGATAGTGCACGCAATTGAGGGAGGGCGGGAGGTGCTTCTTCATACTAGGTAAGACACATCATTTTATTTTATAACGCGGATATTTGCGAAGTAAATTTTTGTAAAATCTTTTATATAATGGATTTCCGCAAAGTAACGCCTGATTCTATTAATTATATTTTTGACATTAATCAAACAATATTTGCAGTAACTAAATGGCTAAGTAATAACAATTTAACAATAAACTTAAGTAAAACTCAATATATAAATTGCAATAATATAAATAATAATTTAATTAATATTAATTATAATGGACAAACTCTTTGTAGTGCAACTAACGTGACATTCCTAGGTATAATTATTGACAAAGAATTAAAGTGGAAAGAACAAGTTTGTAAAGTATGTAATAAAATAAATAGGTTCGCATATGCGCTTTATAGACTTACAAAGGTGGCAACAAAACAAACTGCAATTATGACATATTTTGCATATATTCGCTACGGGATTATAATTTGGGGCAACAGTGGAGAAATTAATAAAGTTTTTATTGCACAAAAAAAATGTGTTCGTGCCATTCATGGTGTTGGCCCAGATGTCTCATGCCGACCATTATTTAAGACACTGGGGATCTTACCCGTGCCTTGTTTGTATATATTAGAAGTTGCTAAGTTTGTAAAACAACACGGGAAGAGTTTCTATAAACTTAATAAAGAAGTGGTATCCATGAACACGACATACCAGATCGGATAGTACTTAGCGAAATACCGAAAAGTAAACGCTTTAGCAAAAATTGTTACTGGATGTGTAAAACAATATATAATAAAATACCAAACATAATTAAAGATCTTCCTATGCAAAGGTTTCTAAAGGAGCATACTTTGAAGGAGATAAAATAAACTTGGATGAATAACTAACATTTTGTGCATTAATCATACATTAAGACCCAAACGCGATTTTCAATATTCATTTATTATCAAAAAAAAATCTAAAATCGTTTATTGCGTGTACTGGGTTGGTAAAACCTTATTAATAAAAGAAAAACTTTGCCGACGGTACACGCTGATGGAATGACACGCGTTTAGTACTAGGGTGGTCTGAAAAGTTTCCGATCTCAACGTGAAGATGGCAGCACTTGTCAGTAGAAGCTACTGAACGTAGTTGTGCACCTTTTGACAGTTACGCACCAAAATTTCGTTTGAGTAAGTCGATGTGTTTTTGTGAAAATTGAAAAAATATAGTATCAAACTGTCATTAATTTTTTGTTTCTGAAGGACAATACGCCTACGCAAATCAAAGATGAGTTGGACTCTGTATATGGGGACTCTACACCATCATTTGCCACAGTGAAATGTTGGGCAGCTGAATGCCTAGCATGTCCATATGGACACAAAAATATGGGTAAATTGAAATGCTTAATACATCTACACTTTATTTAATTTTAAACATTTCATTGTTTATACTATACCACTAAATATCAAAGTTTCATTACATGTCACTGTCACTGTTATAATATAGTGTTGATTCGCGGGTTTAATCATTTAATTGCCGCTAATCTGTTACGGTGAAATGTGGACCCAAGAAGAGAGTAAGTAATATTATTTTTAATATATTGGTTTTATTTATGTAATTTTTGTGCTAAATTACTAAGACATAATTGAGTTAGTAATTTAGCACAAAAAATATTTGAGTTATGTCTACAAAATGGTAAAATATTGCTTAGATTTGATTTAGCACAATATTTATAACCCTGAAGTTGCCGTGTCCATAAGGACACGCTAAGCACTAAGCATTGCATTACATAAAGTAATGTATTATATTCAGATTCTTCGATTTCAACCAATTTCTGGGTAACGGCTCGCTAAATGAAATTCTTGATTCTGTGCGAAGATGAAGAAGGTTCTGGTGAATCTCCGATACCAGAAACAATTTTTATAGCTCCTCCTGATCCAGCCATTTTGACGGACGAGGATTCAGGTGACGAAGATAGTGGTGGAAGAGCCGAGCATTTAAGGTTTGAGCAACGATATCAAACTTACAGAGACACTCTTCGTTTTAACAATCTTTGTGGCAGAAAAGCGAGAACATGGATCGATGGAACCTTAGAACCATTTTTGGGATCATTTCCAGAGATTGCAACTGACATTGCTAGTCAATCAGCCGTCGATTTGTTTGGATTTTTTATTGATCACGACATTATTGACATGTTTATTCTGCAATAAAATCACTATGCTTTATGGAGAAACTGCGCTGATCCTAAGATCACAGCTGTTGAAATGCAGTGCTTTATTGCTATTGTCATTTTGAGTGGGTATTCGCCCAATGCTAACAGACGGCTCTATTGGACAACGGAGATAGACACCCGCAATAAGCTTATTTGCAACTCTATGCGGCGCAACAGATTTGAGGAGATAATGCGATTCATTCAGTGTCGATAATAATGAATTAGACGTGAATGACAAAATGTGGAAGTTGCGCCCTTTAGTAAATAAAATAAAGGCTAATTTTATGAAACATTTTGTCCCTGAACAAAATCTGTCATTCGACGAAACTATGGTCAAATATTATGGCCAGCATTCCTGTAAGCAATTTATCAGAGGAAACCCCATCCGGTTGGGCTACAAGATGAGCCTGTGTATTCCAGATGGTTATTTGAAACATTTTGAAGTTTATCAAGGCAAGGCTCCAAATGCCAATCCACTTTATGAACAGCATTTTGAAAAATGTGCTGCTCCTCTTCTAACATTTATCGATGAGTTTACCGATGAAAAAAAGAAAATGCCTTATCATTTTTTCTTTGACAATCTTTTTACAAGCTTGAATCTTCTGAACTACTTTAGAAGGCAAGGATATGGAGCTACAGGCACAGTACGGGAAAACCACCTGCAGAAGTGTCAAAAATTGACTTCGAACAAAATGTTGAAGAAAAAGTCAATAGGTTATTACGAATCTGCGATTAGCAAAGAAGTTGGTGTCCTTGTAGCAAAATTGATGGATAATCCAATCTTTTTTTTTTTTGCATCGCATCTAACAATTTGGGCATGCAACCGCCGACTACCATGAAACGGTATTCCCAAAAAGAAAAAGCATCTGTTCAAGTGCCACGACCATTTCATCTGAGTGAGTATAATAAATATATGGGTGGAGTTGACAGAATGGATGAAAATATAAACCTGTATAGGATACACATCAGAGGAAAGGAGTGGTACTGGTCGCTATTTACTTGGATGCTAGATGCATGCGTGCATAATGCTTGGCAACTTCAGAGAAAGAAAGATAAGATGCCACAGCTGGAATTTCGAAGAGACATTGTCCTCATCTACCTAAAAACTTATGGAAAAGCTGCAAAAGGTGGCAGGCAGACCTTCTACATCCAAACTGGCTGACACAGCGCGGTTTAACAGCATAAATCATTACGTTAGAAAGTGTGTAAAAAAAAGAAGATGCGTCGGCCTGTACTGCAGAATGTATGAAGTGTGACGTTAGCCTATGTATACCATGTTTTGCAATGTATCACCAGAAGTAATAAACACCTACCGTTATAATGTTTGTGTTTCTTTTTATCTAACTATTTCAAGATAAATTTCTCAAATCCTTAGCTATTGTAAGCGCTGAGTGTATCCATTTGGACACGTGAATTTTCTCAAACTTCTTTGGAAAAATAAAATTTATGCTAATTTGATAAGAACCCATCATTGAACAATATTATATATCCAAACTTAAAAAAAAACATTCGGGCATTAATGGGTTAAGTTCACCAAATAGTAACCTACAAGTCGCTCAAAATAAAGTCATAAAAATACTCTTCCAATATCCTTTTCGAACATCCACCTCAAAAGTCTATAGTGAAACAAAAATTATGACCATACAACAGTTATACATTTATCACTCATGTCTTTTAATCCGGAAAGTTATTGACAAGAACATTCATTCCAGTATCACTTTCACTAAAGCAAAACACCTCAGACAACGAAGAACAAGAAGAGCCAGCCATGAGCCAGCTTTCTTGTCCTACCTAAAACTAGAACGTCCTATGGTAGAAAAACATTAACATATGAAGGAGCGCAGCTTTATAATAACATACCTGCACACATTAAAAATGTACACTCACCTAACACATTCAAAATAAAATTAGCAGAATACGTTTTAAAAAATTACACTAAATAAACGAATGTGTTAATTGAGTACACACAAATTTACAATGACGAACATAACGAATTAAAATTTTGTTATTCTTTTTAATGTTCTCACGTAAGTGACTAATGTAAGTCTTTATGAGAATAAATGTCTTTAAACCTAAACCTAAATAGTGCTAGACGACCGCCGAATCAAAGTGAGAGAGATTCTGCTATCCAAATGTTGGCTATGAAAATATCCAAAGAACGTGTTTGTCAAATATAAAATCAAGATTTAGGCAAGAGAATAGCTGCCAGCGCGTTAGGTTAGTTTTGCCGCGTTCACTCACGTTAGACCAACAACGTGTTCGAATGGACATTTCTAACGCTCTGTTGGCGCAATTTAGGCGCAATAAGTCCGAATTTTGGCACCGATTAATTACTGTAGATGATACTTGGATACACCATTATACGTTCGAAACAAAAATACAGTTAAAACAGTGGATTGCAAGGGGGGAACCAGCTCCAAAAAAAAAGGAAAACAGTTTTTTGGGATAGTCATGGAGTTATCTTAATCGGTTATCTCCAAAAAGGAAAAACCATTACAGGAGTATACTACTCATCATTACTTGACAAACTGAAGGCAGAAATTGCGGAAAAACGGCCACATTTGCAGAAAAAGAAAATCCTGTTTAACCATGACAACGCACCGTCGCACACCTTAGCGGTTACCATGGCAAAAATCCCGAATTACGGTTGAAACTGCTTGACTATGCGCCTTACTCACCAGATCTAGCCCCAAACGACTTCTTTTTGTTCCTTCGTCTAAAAATTGCGCTCTGATAACAGATTTTCGCCAAATGAGGAGGCAATCGCGTTCGTGAACAATTATTTTGCAGAGAAAAACACCGAGTACTAGAGTTTAGTGTTAGAGGACGGATTAGAGAGATGGGAGCATCACTGGAAGAAGTGTGTAGAGTTACAAGGAGACTAATATTACACCAATAACTTTTTTTCATCGGAATGAGGATTGCATATAAATAACATATAAATAACATTGCAATAAGCAAATTCCTTTAATATATATTTTTTTTTACTTTTCTAAAGGGATACGCAATTTGAAAACAACTTTCGCATTCGTCTTATGAACTTTTTTACTGTGCTAATATTTTTTGGATAATTATTAAATATCAACAATGGCATTGATAACAACTCCACAAACTTACGACTCTATAAAATGACACGTTAAATAGGTACTTTATTTCAAAAGAAAAGTGAATTAATCAAAGCTCTTCACATATTTAAAAATATTGTAACTCCACAGACATAAATAGAAAAATTTACAAACCCTCCAAACAAGAAAAGCTATACACGCTGATAGAATGACTCTCAGTTTAATATTTTTCTTTAAAACAATGAATGCACCAACTTAATATTTTTGCTTCAATAACAATTGGAATCCTACTTAAACGAAAATGATGCACAAAACACTACAGACCTGAGACATAATCTTTTACCATCATACATTAAAATTTAAGACCCAAACTCGATTTTCAACATTTATTTATTATTAATAAAAGAACAACTTTTCCGACAGTATACGCTTATGGAATGAATCGCTGTTTAGTATTTTCGTTCAAACAATGAATGCACCGACTTACATGTCTTTGTTTCCAAACCAAGTTAAAAAAAAGAACAAATAAAATGAAAAAACCAAACAAAAATAAAAATATATTAATCACTTCTAATGATCCGAGAAGAATATTATACACCATTAATTTTGTTTCATCGGAGTAAGGATTGCATATATAACGTTACAAGAAGCAAATTCCTTTAGAATATTATTACACCTTTCGAAATAGATACGCAATTTGAAATCAACTTTCGCATTCGTCCTATCAACCTTTTTACTTTCGCATAGAGCGCCTTATTTTTTTTTTTTAATAATTCTTAAATATCAACAATGATACAACTCCGCAAACTTACGACTCTACGAAATGACACTTTCAATAAGTACCTTATTTAAAAAGAAATGTGAATCAATTAAATTCAAAATTTAAAAACTCCCCGAAACAAAAAGATCTGATGATCTTCAAACGGTTTTTCGTTTTTCTTGAATCATAGCTAAGAACACTCAATGAGTCACCTTCCAGCCAAAAACAACTAAATCAAAATAGGTTCGTTCTTTTGAGCACTACGATGACACAGATATACACACAAATACACACATTAAACTTATAACACCCCTCTGTTTCCATCGGGGGTTGTTTAAAACAAAATACTATTTTATAACACTGTTATTTTCGTGCTTTATGCGTTTGTGCAGGCAAATAATTAAAACTCCAAAAAAATATATTTTGCTGATGAAACTCACACAATGCTTTATAGCTTTTACAACTTTAAAATTTTTATATTCTGACACAGTTGGTATGTGAAGTTCTTCCTAACATTTATAAAAACGTTGACATTCATTGAGTTATATGTACTACGAACTAGAGAAGCAATTCTAAACAAAAAAATGTATATCGTCAATTTTTGTCAATTTTTACTGGATGAGACAGTGCTGACCATCTTCATTTTCAGTTTTCCTCTGTCGCCTCTTAAGACGCGAACGGAACGATATAGGGCGGTAGAAATTCTTACACTGCCACTACAAGGTTAGATCGACTACAACCAGGAATTTTTCCGGACCGATACGAATTAGGGACCTTTAAGAAAAGAGCCTACTCTTTTTTAAAAGGCCGACAACGCATCTGCGATTCCCCTGGTGTTGCAGTTGTACGTAGGCGGCGTTAGTCACTTACCACCAGGAGAGCCGCATGCTCTTTTGCCCTCTCTGTTATAAAAAAAAGATAACAATTAGTAAAAAAACTATGGTTGCAAACCTGCTTGCCAAACATAGTTATTATTCAATCTATTTGGGGAGGTCTTTTTTCAGCCGTGAACTTGATAGCCTGTAATGATTTTTTTTTTTATTGGATAAGGATGACAAACGAGCACACAGTCCACCTGATGGTAAGTGGTTGCTGCGGCCCATAGACATCTACATCTATCCTCTATTACAAATCAAAATGTATATGCGTTGTCACCCGTGAGGACTAAGATGGAATGCCTCATTTCCAGTAAAAAGGGCCTCCGGCCACCTGCACTCACCAAGCGAAACACAGAGGTAAACCTCTATTTCACGCTGGTATTCTGTGAGGTCGTGGTATCACCCCGGTTCGAGCCGGCCCATCTGTGCGACAGCAAAAGATACCGCGTGGCTCTACCACTGTTAATAAATGAGTAAATGATTTCTAATTGTATACTAATAAAGTATACATAACTATAAATTAGTTACTAACACATAAATTACGGACTAAATTATATTGTATATTATAACAAAAGCTAATATATTAACATATCTGTTACGTGTTGTTGTTGTTTACTATTCACAATGGTCTGGTGACCGAAGATCCGATACCACCCAGTAATGCTCCTATCACCAGTCTGTGAAATTGGGTTGAGCTTGTTTTAATGAATATTCTGTCATCAGATTGTCGTGAGAAATTAACCTCCTGTTAATCAGCTAAGGTTAATCTTTGAAAAAAAATCAAAGAAAAATGGTGAACTCCTCACACACTTGCAACAATTCAGTAGATGTTCACTACTAAAATGGGCGTCTTCCATAATATGGAATATTTGCATTTATTTCGGATTTACGATTGCAGTAATCAGATCAGTCTTCTCTGTCTTTGGATTGAGCTCCCAATAGACATTCTATGTGAGTATTCTTATTGTATAATTTATTTGGTTAATCTACACTGGTCCATTAAAATACAGAATGGTCATAACATACATTTCTATTGAAATTGTTTGAGTATACATTGAATGAAATGTTTTTACAAAAATCAACCAAAGGCCATATATGATGTTATTTATTAAAATTAGAATTTACAACATGGTAATTATTAGGCCTTGCAATCTTTTTAGTCCATAGTCACCTCTTACGAAACCCATTAGACAAAATCACCTAACTTCTTATCAACCTAAACACCTTTCGTCATAGGTTTGAGTATACCTCAACACCTAACTTGCAAGTTTATAACTATTTGTGAATTTGGGATTGTCTCACTATTTTTTTTTTGCTTGTCTTAAACTCATTTCAGTTAAGTTCGACTTTGTAATGGCGGTGTATGAAAATCCAATACCTATATTGTCCAGTGAATGCCGTAAGAGATGACGGAGGAAAACAAACCTGGAGACAGGCAGCAACATCTTGCTAAGAAAAAAAAACTGCGGCAAATACGCCCCTATATTGCAATCTATGGAATAGGCCTATGTGCAGAATGGACTTAGGATTTTAGGCTGTAAAACTTAAGTTCTTATCATACAACTTTCTTTAGCCATCTATCCCCCGTCCTATATATACAAGGGTTATTTTTCAAAGAGTAGCCAAATTTTAAACTAAGTTCAAATGTATAAATAATGATATACCGTTATTGCAGTTTTTGAAAGTACGCGTAAACAAGGCTTTTACTTTTATTTGAAATTATCCCAAATTGAATGTGATTTATAGGCAACAACGTTTTTGCCTACCGATCGACTCTTGGGAATGTGTGCGTGCACTCTGTAAAATCAGTTAAATTATGCATTACCAAGCATTTTGAATTTAAAACATAAAAATTACAATGTTTGAGATTTCTTTTAATTAATTTTTCTTCACCATTTGCCTATACTACTTAATCTGAACCTTCTCTGCAAATTTGCCCGGTTATTAGAAAATAGCCCTGTATAATACTTACATATAAATATATAATATAGTCTTTCTTTAAGTATTTACCTCTTTTATAATTTTTTTATATTCTTTATACATATTATGTTTATTTTCTATGACTTACAAAGGCTGATAGATTTTTAATTACTGTTATATAAGTGATATTCCATATGATGTAAATAATAATTTGCATTCATTCCTGTCAGACATGATATGAGCAGTATTATTTTTAGATTAGCCAAAAAAATTGATAGAGAAAACATTTCATAAACAAAAAGCTCACAGATGGTAAGTTGTCACAGCAGCTCATAGTTACCTGCGGCCAGCTCCAAGCTGGGAAGCTTCATGTATATAACCTTTATGTAGTGTCCGAAAAGATTAGCCTTTCCACTATTTAAAATAAGTATTCGGTATTTACGGTTCACTTTATTTTTTTTTTAAGTTAAGACATTTTAAAACTAAAAAATAACTTAATAAAAAGTAAAAGCAGGCTTCAAAGAAATAAAAAGAGAGAAAATAATTTTCTCCTTTTATTTCTTTGAAGCCTATTCTGAAGTCGGGGCTAAAACATAGTGTATAGAAGAATTAAAACCCTGACTTCAAAATGTCAACTTAACTTAAGTAGGTACCTTTTACTTGTTTTTTAACCTTTTGAGTGGAATAAGGATTACAATGTTGTCTAAATTTACATTAAAAACTTCATCTGCTAATTTGCCACCCACAGTCATGGCATATTTCCTCTAATTTTAGGAACCATCCCTGATTATTATTATGTATAATCTATTTAATAAACAAGTAAAATTTAAAAAGAAATATGTATTTATTTTTTTAATATAACACTTTTTTAAGTTCTCACATAGTCATCCGATTCCGAGATATGTTCAAAATTTCTTTCTTTTAAAAAGCCTTGGGAGACATGTACTTTTATATCAGACTATTTTCTTAAAGTCTGAACATGTTCAGCCCTTTATGTGTAAATAAGATACAGACGTCCAAACTTTCATTTATAATCTTAGTAGGATGATAAGGGTGATGAATGATGACATATATTTTGTAACATTAATTGATCAACTAAATGACAATTCTAACAATGATTGATTAATTAAATATTATAAATTATTAATTAGCAACATAATAACTAACAATAAAAATGCTTCTTAACCTATGTACCACAAACATATCTATACATATAAATACAATTGAAGTGTCTGTCCGTTATATTGATATATAACTTATATAACTGGAAGTCCAAAAAACTTTAAAAAGACCAGGCTTTTTAAAAATGAACACTGAAGTCCTCCCATTTTAGTCCAGCTCTAAAGGGGACTCAATTCATTTGGAACACTACCCCTGGCATACCCACATCACATTGTCATCATTCATCTCATCAGAGATGAAAACAAATTATTATTTACTGCAAGAGCATATTAACATGCAAAAAACATGAAAACTAATTAAACAAATATTTCTTACCAGAAATTTTTTATGGCCTAAAGACAAAAATATTATAACTATTTGTATCACCACTGGTTTCACAATCTGAGTTCACTGTTCTTCGCACACTTAAATACATTTTAAACTTTCACTTGATTCTCTTTCACCATTTTAAATATTTGTTTAACGCCAATATCATTGTTTCCCTCGCTTTCCTGGAGGCTTTTGAAGCTGGAAAGCAGAGCTTGACTCAGTTTGTGACGTTGATCCAAAATTACTTAGATTTAGTGATGTGTTGTAATTACTCTGCGGTTGGGGTTGCCAGTTCGATCCTGTAATGATAAAAAAGCAGACAACTGAAAACACTATTCTTTTGTCTCCCTTTTTTGTGGAATCTTTTTTATAGGATAAGAGTGACAAGCGAGCACAGTCCACCTGATGGTAAGTGGTTGTTGTGGCCCATAGACATCTACATCTATCTTCGTTTACGAATCAAAATGCAGATGCGTTGTCACCGGTTAGTACTAAGATGGAATGCCTCTTTTCCAGTAAAAAGGGTCTATATGTACCCTCCGTATGAATTTACGAAAGCTATATTTTATTGCATAATTGTTAACTGTATAGTGATGGTGTAAGAATATCCACTACCCTATTTTGTCCCATGGATGTCGTAAGAGGCGAGAGAGGAAAAGTGAAACAGGTATTGGGCAACAGCATCTTCCTGATAAAAACTCAAAATTATAAAAAACTGTGGTTGCCAAGTGTGTGCAACTATGGCAATAATTCCCTCTATGAGGCAATCTATGTGGGAGGCCTATGTTCAACAGTGGACTTTTATAGGCTGTAATGATGATGGATCTCTCATCCAAATGGAGAGTGAACATGTTCAAAACACACACTAGCCACAAAATGATGGAATCAATGATTCAGGGAGTCATGAAGATCTAAATTGTGATATAAATGTAAATAAATGACTTTAGTAGTAAATAATTGAAAAAAAAACAGTCCTGCTGGGATTCTTGCTTGCTTGTTTTGCCGAGAACAAAGGATTCTTTCCCAACCAGTGGTAAAAAATTACTTTTAAAAATAATTAAATGTTATTGATATTGAAGAAAAAATTACTATATTCTATACCATTCAAACAAAAATTAACGTTATTGCAGTAGTACATTGATAACTTCGTTATTTTGTTCTATTACGACGAGTTTGCTGACACTGTCTGCAGTTATGTACACAAGCACGCATTAGAACCACTAGTATGGCTCGCCAGTATTAGTGATAAAACATGTTTATCTAATCTCAATATTTAGAGTTCCTGGAATTCCCCAATTAACTCACCTGATACATCAGCTGTGTGGAATGGTGACAGTGTACTGCCTAAATAAGTGAAAGGAGGTGGACCAGCCAGTTGTTGAATGTTACCTGTAAAAAAATGTTTTTGTAGTTATAGCAATGTACAATGATTGTCATAAGACATTGGATCATCTCATTAGATGTGGACATATTTTTTATAGCATAGGGTAACAAATAAGCACACAGTCTAATTGATGGTAAGTGGTTGCTGTGGCCCATAGACATCTACATCTATACTTGTTTGCGAATCAAAATGCAGATGCGTTGTCACCAGTTAGGACTAAGATGGAATGCCTCTTTTCCAGTAAAAAGGGTCTCCGATTCTCTACACTCACCATACGAAACACAGCAGTGTTAAGTTGCTATTTTACGCTGGTATTCTGTGAGAGCGTGGTCTTTCCCTAGTCGAGCCAACCCATTCGTGCTACAACTATACTACAAATATAGCTGCAGCATGGCTCTACCACGTATCAGGAAATTCACTGCGTTTTGCAGTGTTATGTGCGCGATGTAACGCCTAATACGATAAATTCGGAGTAAAGCTACTATCCTGTATCAAAGATAGGGACTATTTCACCCAAATCTGAAAATCAGGCTGTTTTTTAATAATAGATGTGAGGATAACAATTGAGCACACACAAACGGAAAGTGGATGCCGTGGCCTATAGACACTACTATCCTCGATAGTGTAATTAAAATACAGAAGCGTTGTCATATTACCAGTGAGAAAGGTTTCTGGTTCTCGTCAGTCACCATACAAAACACAACATAACGCATGGTATCCTGTGACAGCGTGAACCTTCGCCGGTGGAACCGCCCATTCATACTGCTGCTAAGATACGATTCAGCATGTCTCTACCACGTAAGATAAAGTCAATATCAATCCAACACTTGTAACATAGCAATAGGTCCTACAATCATCATTTACACAACAGAGTCATTGTTTACTTGTCAAACTTAAAGACAAAATTGCTTGTAATATAAAAAAAACACTTACTTAACGCAACTTTGGGATCTGACAACACAGCACTGCCTGCACCACCAAAACTGATATCCGCTAAGGAACTTGATTTCGTTTTCTTTCTTGTACCTTCTGCATCATGTAAAATCTGATCCAGACTGGCGCTTGCTATAAATAAAAAACACATTTTAATTTTAATTTTTTTTTAATGAAAGGATGTGTGATACCTCGGGTCTAAGTCATCATTACAGCCCTTCACAAGTCCACTGCTGAACATAGGCCTCCCCCAAAGAATGCCACAAAGCACGGTCCTGAGCCACCTGCATCCATCGACTTCCTGCATATCTTACCAGGTCGTCACTTCATCTAGTGGGGGGACGCCCTACACTTCGCCTGCCGATACGAGGCTGCCACTCGAGAACCTTTCTTCCCCATCGGTTGTCGGTTCTTCGAGCTATATGGCCGGCCCATTGCCACTTCAGCTTACTAATCCGTTGGGCTATGTCGGTCACTCTGGTTCTACTGCGGATATCACGCAGAGAAACTCCGAGCATAGCCCTCTCCATAGCTCGCTGAGCGACCTTGAGCTTCCTCATCCGGCCAGCAGTGAAGGACCACGTTTCAGGTCCGTATGTCATCACTGGCAACACGCACTGGGTGTACAGTCTCGTTTTCAAGTTTTGAGGTATACCTGACGAGAAGATGTGCCGTAATTTCCCGAACGCTGCCCAACCGAGTTGAATCCGTCGATTGACCTCTCGGTCGAAGTTGGACTTACCTAGTCGGACTATTTGTCCCAGGTAAACATACTCGTCAACAACTTCGAGCTTAGTGTTCCCAACAACTACCGGCATAGGTGCGACATGGACATTAAACATGATCTTTGTTTTGTCCATGTTCATCTTATGGTCCGAGAGCTCATGACGCATTTTTCATGAAGTGTTTGATGCATCATGAAACTTTGTTTAAAGGTATCAGTCGACTCAATAAGCAGGTATATGACTGTCTGCCTGGCCTACCTGGGTACACCTGGTACTGCGCATACAGTTAAGTCGAAAAAAAATTTGCCCAAAAAAAAGTGTTTGATTCAAATAATAATAATGACTATCCGTTAGCTAAGTTTATAAACAATTAAGAAAAAAAATGGCAGACACTTCTGAAGGGGTTTACATAGGGGCAGACGACCACAAAGTTGTATTTTCAAAAATTCCAAAAAAAGTGTTTGATTCAGTCTGCCATTTTTACAGCGTGTTTATTATGTATAATAAAATATTCTCACAAAAAGGCAGACAGTTTCTCCGGGGGTTACTAATTTAAAAATCTATACAAATAAATAAAATTTAAATGTCTGTTTTTAATTTCAAAATAACAATTTTTTACTAAACGCATAAGACATTATATACGATATTTATAACAAAAACACAATTTTTAAAATTTTTGTCTGTCTGTTTGTTCCGACTAATCTCCGAAATGGCTGGACCGATTTTGACGGGACTTTCACTGGCAGATAATTGATGTTATAACGAGTATTTTAGGCTGCTTTTAAATTTAAAAAAAATTATTAGGGTACCGCGCAAAAAAAATAAAACCCTAAATTACATGCGGGCGAAGTCGCGGGGAACAGCTTTTTATTTTATCAGCAGCTATTTAAATAATCTTAAAAAAGTATAATTATTTTCATGTTTGTCAATTGGAATCGGATTCTGCTGTCAATGTACTTATCAAATCATGTGATACAGATGTATTAATTATTATGATAGGAAATATGGACCATTTAAAAAGTGATTATTTATTTGTATAGATTTTTAAATTAGTAACCCCCGGAGAAACTGTCTGCCTTTTTGTGAGAATATTTTATTATACATAATAAACACGCTGTAAAAATGGCAGACTGAATCAAACACTTTTTTTGGAATTTTTGAAAATACAACTTTGTGGTCGTCTGCCCCTATGTAAACCCCTTCAGAAGTGTCTGCCATTTTTTTTCTTAATTGTTTATAAACTTAGCTAACGGATAGTCATTATTATTATTTGAATCAAACACTTTTTTTTGGGCAAATTTTTTTTCGACTTAACTGTATGCGCAGTACCAGGTGTACCCAGGTAGGCCAGGCAGACAGTCATATACCTGCTTATTGAGTCGACTGATACCTTTAAACAAAGTTTCATGATGCATCAAACACTTCATGAAAAATGCGTCATGAGCTCTCGGACCATAAGACCTATCCGTTGGGAAACACCATTGAGGTCATTGAGCATAGTGCTTAGGTCCTCCAGCGATTCTGCCATAAGGACTATATCGTCGGCAAATCGAAGGTGAGTGATGTACTCGCCATTGATGTTGATACCGTATCCTTTCCAGTCCAGAAGCTTGAAAACATATTCCAATATTTCGGGGATATGACGTCACCCTGTCTTACACCTCTCTGCAATTGGATAGATTTCGTACTCTGGTTCTGTACTCGGATAGCCATCGTAGCCCTACTGTACAAGCACTTCAACACTTCGATATACCGACAGTCAACTTGGCACCGCTGAAGGGACCGCAGCACCGCCCAAATTTCGACGGAATCAAAGGCTTTCTCATAGTCCACATACGCCAGACATAGTGACAAATTGTACTCCTCGGACTTCTGTACAACTTGCTGAAGGGTATGTATGTGGTCTATGGTGCTAAAGCCCTTTCGGAAACCGGCTTGTTCGGGAGGCTGGAAGTCGTCAAGTCTGCGCGCGAGACGATTCGTAATCACTCTCGAAAACAGCACGTAGACGCGGCTCAGAAGGGAAATCGGTCTGTAGTTCGTCAAGAGAGCGTTGTCGCCTTTCTTGAAGAACAAGGCCACCGCACTTCTGCTCCACGCCTCCGGTGTAATGCCACCATGGAGGACGGAATTAAAGAGCTTCTGAAGGACTTCAAGTACCGGTTTTCCACCCGCTTTCAGAAGCTCCGCTGTAATTCCATCCTCGCCTGGGGCCTTGCCGTTTTTAAGGTGCTGGAGAGCCATTCTAATCTCGCTCAAACTCACGTCCGGGATATCATCGGAATAATGTCGGATAAGACTCGCTCTTGGATCGTTACTCACACTTGCGTGCGGCTCCAACGATGACGTGTACAATCTCACTCACAATCTCAGGTGCCCCGGAAACGATGCTGCCACATTCGGTCTTCAGCTTTGATAGTTGGCTCTTTCTGGCAGACAGATCTCTGGCAAAGACTTTGGAGCCTTGGTTCCGCTCGATCGCTTCTTCAATACGAGCTGTATTGAAGTTGCGTAAGTTCCGCCGCATGCATTTGGAGATCTGTCTGTTCAGTTGCCTGTATGCTGTCAAATCTGTTGATGAATGTAGCTTCATCTCCCATCTAACAGCCATGAGATTAAGAGTGTGATCGGAGAGTTTTTGTGTTCTTCTGCGGCGGGTCTTGCAAAAAATTAGTTCCGACCGCATGGACAGTTTCCACGAGCTTGTCATTCAAGTCGTCCACTTCATTGCAGTCTTCTAGTCAGTCTCATTTTTTGTCGAACCGTCGGGGCTCGACCAGGTCCACTTCCTGTGGGGCCGCTTCTGGAAGAAAGAGTTCATCATAAAGAGTCCCTCTTTCTCCATGAAATCGGCCAGCTGCTGGCCCCTTGGGTTCCGTTGCCCTATTCCAAATTTCCCCACTTTCAGCTCACCATTCTCTCTTGTGCCTAGTTTTGCATTGAAATCTCCCATTAACACCGTATATTGGGTTTTGGAGGTATGCATGGCTCTAGAGATATCCTCATACATTTCCTCCACCTCCTGATTGGGGTGTGCCGAGGTTGGTGCGTAAACCTGTATGACCTTCAGCGAATACCGTTTGGTGATTCTGAGTATAAGGTACGCAACCCTCGTCGACACACTCTCAATCTTTACAACGTTGTTAACGAGAGACTTGTGGACGATAAATCCGACACCTCCTTGGGACAGATGGTCGCCCTCCCGGTAATAGAGCAAGTTGCCGGATTCGAGGATTACCGTGTCCTCCCCCTCTCTTCGGACTTCGGATAATCCTATTATATGCCAGCGTAACTTGTCTCTCTTTTTCCAGCTCCACAATCTTCTCGTCATTCCTCAGGGTGCGTGCGTTGTATGTTGCCAGGTCGAGTCGTCGTAGGTGGCAACCGTACCTCCACCGGAGATTCTTAGCACCCCCTGCCCCGCTGTTACCATGGTCGCCACCGTAGCTAGGAATAGCGGGGCCGCCGGGGACTGGGGGCCGTCTCGTCGTAACTTTCATCATGGGGGGTATATTGCCATAGTTGCGACGCTTGGCGAGCGGGTTGGCAACCGCAGTTTTTTTTTTATTGTATTGCTGCTGCCCATCTCCTGCCTGTTTCCCTTTGTCGCCTTTTACGACACCCACGGGAAGATATGGGGTAGTGGATATTCTTAACCGCCACTACACGGTAAACGGGGCTAAGTGCTTGCTGTAAATGTCACAGTATTAATCGAATAAAATAATGAATTTATAGAAATCGACACAGCCGGTAGACAGTGTTCACTTGTACTGCCGTTTCGCGTAAAAGGGATACTAGATGGCACTGTCACAGACACGGCAGCGTTGATCAATTTATTTTAGTTCTAGAATACCACACCAACAACTGGGGATAATGTCAAATACAAAGTAAGAAACATTCCTTAGTCCCTGATATCTAGCCCTCTGGGGTAATGTATCGTCTATATACGGACGCGGCAATGAAAGAAGTGTCCTAAATAGCCATAGAATAAAATTCTCGTGTCGCGGTGTTTGTTACCAAACTCCTCCGAAACGGCTGAACCGATTTGTATGAAATTTTGTGTGCATATCGGTTAGGTCTGAGAATCGGCCAACGTCTATTTTTCAAACCCTTAAATGATAAGGGTGACCCACCTCTAAATATTTTTTTTTATTTTTTTTGACAATTTTTTTTATTCTTATTTTATTGTGATTTAGCATTGAAAAATACATAAAACTTCAAATTTTCACCCTTCTACGATCAACCCCTGTTTTTTAATCGCGATTTTTAAAACTAAAAAATATTTCTTAGAAATAATGTATATGGCAAAACAACGTTTGCCCAGTCAGCTAGTGTTTTTATATATTTTTTAGGTTAAGGTAGCTAGTATATATTGCTATTGGCCAATGTTATTAATTTTTAAATTCTTGGTGCCGGTATTAAAAATATTGTATTGTATTGTAAAGGTACAAGACATTTGGTACTATGATCCTTAATCCACTTGTCAAGCATAATCATCCTATAACTGGAGAGGCCTGTCTCCTACAGTAGACTAACAGTAGTACTCCGAAAGTTTCATTTTATCTAATTGTAGATGGTTACCTTTTGAGATAAAATGACAAGTGCTTTTACTATTATAATATTATATACTGTATGTGTTATAATATTAGAAACCATTATTGAATATATTAATAAAAAAATAGTCTTATGTACTCACGTGAGGGTCTGTCAAAAACATTTGTAGGATCCTTCAGTATATACTTCCTGAGGTTGAGATATTGCTCCTTCTGAGCTTCAACTTGCGTGTGCACCGCTTGCAAGCGACCAGCCAAAGCCACAAGAGACTCGTGCATACGTCGAATACCGAGCGTTAACTCTGTAATAAAAGAAAACCATATATTAAAAAATTACGAATGATACTACCTACAATATTTATATGTAATAACTTAAGATGTAAAATATAATTTAAAACAATTATTATATAATCGTTAGTGATCATAAAACTTTTGAACAAGCAGCAACTTCCTGATAAAACTTAATAATAAATAAAAAAGTTGCAGTTATCAACTAGCCTGCCAAGCATAGTATTTAAGGCAAATACTAAACATCTATAGGGGAAGGCCTATGTTCATCAGTGGACTTGAATGAATGAAAAACAAGTTTATATAATAACTTATAAATTACAAAGTGTACAACAAACCTTGTTCTGTAAGCAATTTGGGTGAAGCCTGCATCTGTTTATCAGCAACATCCATTTGTCTTCGGAATGTAATTAATTGTTGCTCCAATTCAGCAATTAATTCTTTAATGTATTTTGGTGGTGCACTTCCTTCTAGTTCCGCCCCTATTAACAATCACATTATATAAATTTACTTTGATATACAAAACGAACTAAGACAAAGCATGATAAAAATAATATTATATTTTAATCTATCATAGTTCGTATGTGATAAGCAAATACTGAGTCATCATTGTGTCAGTCAGCCAAGCAGGTCGCAAAAATTTGAAAGTTAAGTTCAAGTGAACATTTGAAGGCAGACCTTCGTACGCAATTTAAAATGTAATGTAATTTGCAATGTTTCTAAGCACATACTTTTAAATTTACAATTAATTACCTTCAGATATAAAATTACAGTCTCCGGAAACAAACTAAGTACTAGTAGTTATTGTGTATACCATTTAATCACTTGTTTGTTCATCGACGTTAAAATCCTTGTTTAGCATTATTCTTTTAGTTTTTCATTAAGTGAATTAATAAATTTCTTTTGAAAAAGTAATTTTTTTTAATGTGTGAGTGGAGAGCACAATACTAATACGTAGTTGTAGCATGAATGGGTCGGCTCGACCGGGGAAGGACCACGCTCTCACAGAATACCGGCGTAAAATAGCATGCTGTGTTTCGTATGGTGAGTGTAGAGAACCGGAGACCCTTTTTACTGGAAAAAAGGCATTCCATCTTAGTCCTCACGGGTGACAACGCATCTGCATCTTGAGTCTTTATTGAGGATAGATGTAGATGTTTATGGGTCACAGTAGCCACTTACCATCAGGTGGACTGTGTGCTCGTTTGTCACCCTATCCTATAAAAAAAAATACTGATTGCTAACTGCTGATGCTGCAATACATTAAGATCGATGGACAGTACATAATAATAAAGTACAACAGAACCATAAAAACAAACTTACCGGGTGGATCCCTGGCAGCAGCTTCAGCAGCAGCGAGTGCGTCAGCGGCTGCGGCTCGCAGGCGCCTCGACTGCGCGCGAGCTTTGTTTGTCTCTCCGCGCAACGCTAGCGCTGCACGCAATGTCGCTTCTGCTTCGCGACCCACCTGGTACATGGAAAAATGGGTAATACTTTGTACACCACTACATCGCGGTAGATCCTCGCTGCAGTTATATTATGGCTGCAGTACGAAGGTCGGCTCAACTGAGAAAAAACCACGATCCCACAGAATACCGGCGTAAAATAGTAGCATATTGCTGCTTTGTTTCTTAAAACTTAAAACTTTACTTAAAACTTTGTCCTCACAGTTGGCATCGCATCTATATTTTGATTCTTAATTGAAAATAGATATAAATGTCTATGGGCCACAACATCCACTTACCATCAGGTGAAATATGTACTTGTTTGCACCCTTATTTTATAGAAAAAAGTTTCATATGGTGAGTCTCAACACTATTAACAATAGAGTTGAGGAACCCCATAAAAGGATGCAAAAAATAATCTTAAACAAGTTATAATAATTTTATAGTATTTTTATATTGCTACAAATCTAAGAAATACCTTTTGAATGAAATGTTTCATATATTTCATAAAGCAATATTGTAAGTACTCAAGCATACTCACTCGATTTTAAACAATTTTATTAATTGAATTCAAATTTTTCAAGCAAAACAAAAGATAACCAATCAGAAGAATAACCAGAAAATGAAGGATAGCCCCTAAACCGAAGGGGTTTGCTAACAAGATCTGTCTACAAGTGGTAAATTTAAAATTTTGTACAAACAACTTCAATATGAATATAATTTATTGTTGATTTTTTAAAAACCCTCTGACCATAATCGCTAAAATTGAATGGGACCACCTGGGAAGTATACCCTTTGATATAAAAAAAAGAATTTTCCAAATCGATTTAGGCATCTTTGAATAATCGGTGAACAAACATAAAAAAAGATTCCGACGAATTGAGAACCTTCTTTTTTTAAGTCTTTTAAAAATGATTTTTCTAATTATTGTTGTACTACTTATTTTGTTGTCCAACTAGGTTTCTTGCAGTTTCTTCCCAGGACAAAGGTTTTCCGAATCAGAGGAGCCATGCCGCAGCTATATTATAGTTGTAGCATGAATGGGTCGGTTCAACACAGCACCCACTTAACATCAGGTGAACTGTGTGCTTTTTTTTTCTTTTTTCTTTTTAGAACTAAATTGGAAACTTTTACTGGCCTCTTCACCAGTAAAAGTTTTCTATTATAGTTATCATACGAAAAAAACAGCATTGTGCTACTATTTTACACTTGTATTCTGTATGAGAATGGTTCTTCACCGGTAAAGCCGACCTATTTGTTTTTTTCTTATACAATAAGGGTGGACAAACGAGCACACAGTCCACCTGATGGTAAGTGGTTGCTGCGGCCCATAGACATCTATATCTATCCTCAATAAAGAATCAAAATGCAGATGCGTCGTCACCCGTGAGGACTAAGATGGACTGCCTCTTTTCCAGTAAAATGTGTGAAGCTGCTATTTTACGCAGGTATTCTGTGAAAGCGTGGTCCTTTCCCGGTCGAGCCGACCCATTCGTGCTACAACCATACTATTAATATAGCTGCAGCATGGCTCTACCACGTAAAAAATAATTGTCATTTTATACGCTAATTTATCACACTGATTTTAGTTTAAAAAAATCTTAGTCTGTTCGGCAAGAGTTGATAAATATTATGAAAACGTCTCAAAATAGCGACATCGCGTCGCTTCTTACATATCGCAATATGTGTGACGAGCGTCGCTTCTCGCCCGCAAGCACAGAGGTTTGTGGTACGAGGCTCTCAACTGTTGTCAAGCGCGATATTCGATTTTCTATCAGCAGCAAAAATAATTAGCGGGCCGTAATTTGTTATGAGTTTAGGAACCCTGCTTTTTTATCAACTATCACCAAATAGACTTTGTATTGGATAAAAAATATTCTATTCTATACAAAAAGTAAAGAGATTATACTATTAAATAAGCATGTTACCTTGTGTAATGGTTTAATTGAAACCCGCATAACTTCTGAACTGAGCGACTTCTGTTTCTTTACAAACTCTTTGAAAGAATCCACCAATGTTGAGATTTCATTAGGAAGCTTCGTCTGCTTTGGTGGTTCAGCTGCAAAAATTAAATTACTTTTTAACAGACTACAAAAAAAAGGAATCTCTACTTCTTAATACTACTGTACTTTTATTTGCATAAGTGTTACATGATTTCTACGCCAAATGTGAACCGATATAAGGTGGTCCAATTAAATTTAAAGAAAAAATTCTGCAGGTGTGGCAACTTTGGAAAATATTCATTATTTACTAATAAAAGGCAGTGTGGCTTAGCTTTCCATTTACTCTCATCGAGTTGGGCATTGATACGTATTTTTACATAAAAGTTACACTATTATAAGCACACACATAAAGTTTCAATATGCGCAAACACGTACTTTTTGAGAAAAAACATTATTTGAAAATTAATTATTTTTGCAATGTTTATGTTACATTCCTAGCGGTTGGGGATTGATACGTATTTTTACATAAAAGTTACACTATTATAAGCACACACATAAAGTTTCAATATGCGGAAACACGTATTTTTTGAGAAATAAATTAATAAAAATCACTTATTTTAACAATATTTTGTTGTTGTTTTTTTTAAACTGGCTTTACGGCTCTGGGTTCTAGCCCTTTCTGTAAAACCTTAAACCTTTAACCTTCTAAAACCTTTCTGTAAACATACGTATCAACACCAAACTCGATGGGAGTAAATGGAAAGTCGTACCGGCAATGTTTGATTACTTATTCCAACTGATGGTAAGTGGTGATGCAATCGAAGATAGTAAAGTGCATCAAGTTAACTTAACAAAAGCCTATTCACTGTTACTTTGAAGATAACTACATTATAATCTGATGGAAAGGCAGATACTGGCAAATTATTCCACTCCCTTGCTGTATACACATTATGAATGATGAAGCAATCTATAGAGGAGGCCTATGTATAGCAGTAAACTTTGATAGGTTGCAATTAATGAATAAAAAGAATTTCGAACTTACTTTTTCCATCTCCTGTTGTAGAGCTGCCTGTACCGGTCCCAGTCGGTGCAACTCCACCAAGTCCCAAGCTCGGTGTTGCTAAAACCAAGGTTAACTTGAAAATTTCCCATAAGAAGTACTATTTTTTAATTTGTTGTGTGTTTTATGTATAACAAAGTATAATAAAAATAAAACATAATTGTAAAATATAAAAACATCTTTTTTTATTTTGCAATAAATATTAAAAATAAACAAAACAAACTAAAAGAACAAAAAATACCTGAAGTTGATGGTTGTGTGCCAGATACATTAGTTGTGCCTGAGCTGAGTCCTGCAATAAATTGTATGATATTCATGTTAAGTCACAGGCAAGATATGACCATAAACAATAGTTGAGACACAAATCTTTTTAAACTACTCTACATTCCATATTTGTTGAAATAACAATTTATTTTTAGTAGGTCTAAGATAGGTCAGGATTTTAATTCTTCGTTCGTAAAAATACATTTAAAAATAGAATCTTATTTAGTTCAATGAAACTAAATAAGATTCTATTTTTAAATGTATTTTTATTTAAATGTTACCCATACATACAAAGAAAAGCAGTGTCTGTAAAATCGAAATAACTGCCTTATATTGAGCTGAGGGAGTTATTAGAATGGTATTGAAACATGTACTAATTTTAAATTTTTTGTCTGTCTGTCTGTCTTTGTCAGGGCTAATCTTCAGTATGGCGGAACCGATTGTAATGATAATTAACAACAGATAGATAGCAATACTAGGAGTGATCTAGGCTTTATTTTATCTGAAAAACTTGGAAGATTTTTTAAACGTTTTTTTAAAAGATTCGAGGTCTACTAGGTCTTAAATCTTCAATGTAAGTAACGCCACATTAATAGATCCCACCCAGGCAAAGTCAGGGCGGGTCGCTAGTCTTATATATATTAATACGATAAAATGACTGAATAATATGAAAATTTAGCGAAATATATAAAAAATACTATTAATATTTATTATTATTTCGCTAATCGCTAAATATAAAAATTCAATGTTTGTCGGTTTGTCTGTCCGTATGGTCATTTATAACTTGAGAACCAAGAGATGAATTATGATCCGGTTTTTATTGTAAGGTTGGGTGATTTTTTTAGGAAGATTTTAAGTGCATTCGCTGCGTTAATCTCGGATCCCGCGGCTCGTGAGTCGTTCTGACGGGATTATATATGGATAGTATTTCGGAAGTCGGAAGTATTCCCCGATCCTCCTTAGGGATCTTATCGAGACAACCTGTATTGAGTTTGCTATTATATTTGCTTAATCATTTCAAGAAAAAAACACGTGAACATAGTGCTAAATACTGGACTACCCTTTTAAATAAAGATTAATTTCCGATATTGTTAAAAAGGGCATTAAACTAAAACGCATGAGCAAAATATAAAAAAAAATTATATATTATGTTAATAAGTGGATATAATATAGGTATATAAAAATAAAATATCTATAACTATTGATACAAAGTATTCTCTAATATTATTAGAAGGTTTTATATTTTAAATAACATATTCCTGCTGGAATTTTTCACGATTCTTCACAGGACAAAGGTACCAACCAGTAACAAATTAAAAAAAAAATCAAGTTCAATAAGACCGATTTCCCTTGTGAGCCGCGTCTACGTGCTGTTTTCGAGAGTCATTACGAATCGTCTCGCGCGCAGACTTGACGACTTCCACCCTCCCGAACAAGCCGGTTTCCGAAAGGGCTTTAGCACCATAGACCACATACATACCCTTCGGCATGTAGTACAGAAATCCGAGGAGTACAATTTGCCACTATGCCTGGCGTATGTGGATTATGAGAAAGCCTTTGATTCCGTCGAAATTTGGGCGGTGCTGCAGTCCCTTCAGCGGTGCCAAGTGGACTGTCGGTATATCCAAGTGCTGAAGTGCTTTTACAGTAGGGCTACGATAGCTATCCGAGTACGAAACCTATCCAATTGCAGTGAGGTGTAAGACAGGGTGACGTTATATCCCCGAAACTCTTCACCGCTGCATTGGAAGACGTTTTCAAGCTTCTGGACTGAAAAGGATACGATATTAACATCAATGGCGAGTACATCACTCACCTTCGATTTGCCGACGATATAGTCCTTATGGCAGAATCGCTGGAGGAACTAAGCACCATGCTCAATGACCTCTAATTGTGTCTCCCAATGGATAGGTCTTAAGATGAACATGGACAAAACAAAGATCATGTTCAATGTCCATGTCACACTTATGCCGGTAGTTGTTGGGAGCACTAAGCTCGAAGTTGTTGACGAGTATGTTTACCTGGGACAAATAGTCCGACTAGGTAAGTCCAACTTCGATCGAGAGGTCAATCGACGGCTTGGCTGGGTAGCGTTCGGGAAACTAAGACACATCTTCTCGTCAGACATACCTCAAAACCTTAAAACGAAATTGTACAACCAGTGCGTGTTGCCAGTGATGACTTACGGATCTGAGACGTGGTCCTTCACTGCTGGCCGTATGAGAAAGCCCAAGGTCGCTCAGCGAGCTATGGAGAGGGCTATGCTCGGGGTTTCTCTGCATGATAAACTTAGAAATGAGAATATCCGCAGTAGAACCAGAGTAACCGACATAGCCCAACGGATTAGTGAGCTGAAGTGGCAGTGGGCCGGCCATATAGCTCTAAGAACCGACAACCGATGGAGAAGAAAGGTTCTCGAGTGGCAGCCTCGTACTGGTAGGCGAAGTGTAGGGCGACCCCCCACGAGATGGAGTGACGACCTGGTAAGACGTGCAAGAAGTCGATGGATGCAGGTGGCTCATGACCGTGCTTTGTGGCATTCCTTGGGGGAGGCCTATGTTCAGCAGTGGACTTATGAAAGGCTGTAATGATGAAAATGATGAAATAAAGTTCAATAAGCACTATGTAATTATCTATATTTAATAAAAATATTCTGTTGCATTCCATCTGTGACATTACAATATTTTAATGCCTAAATACTAAAATGCTGCTTAATTTTATGATGCCGTTAAGCCTCACGCTGTCTCTATCACTTAAGTCAAAGCGACTATGACACCATGAGACTTAACATCTTAAAATTTATAGTAGCATATCTTCAAATTCAAATAATATAAACTGTATAAAAACCAACACTACATACGATAGGTAATAACTAACAACACAAACTCTAAGCACAATAAATTATCTCACCCCTAGAAGGACTTAAGGTATGGTAGCAATCTCTCGTAGCACTTTTAAGAACATAGCCACGTTTCCTATTATTCTCTTCAATAGGTCTCGGTGAACAACTAGGTTGGGCACTGACTTCAAAAGGCATGGGTGGTATAATTTGAAACGATTGTGTTAAGGGAATAAATGGAGAACCGGGTGAGGTTGGATGCGGGAACATGTTTAAGCTGAAATATGAAGTTTTGTTCGTTTATAAAGATTTTATATTTTTATTAACTTTCTTTATAATACTTTTTAAAAAAATCTCAATTTTCACTCATACATAGTACTGACATATCTGAATGCATTTTCCAGTTATATTTTATGACAATAACTCTCAAGAAGTAGTAGCAGTCTTGAAATCTTTGGGGTACGACTTTCCATTGACGTCAGTGGAGTTTGGTGTTGATACGTATTTTTACAGAAAGATTACACTATTATAAGCACACACATAAAGTCTCAATATACGGAAACGCGTAATTTTTGAGAAAAGAATAATTGTAAATCAATTATTCTTGCAATGTTTATGTCTAATATGCTAATAAACTGGCGCCATTTTGTCTACTGGCTACAATCAATTCGGTTCTTTGACATAAATTGAACCTAACCTATTTTATTTGTTATCTGCCCTAATAGGTACTGTTAAATAAAACAAATTTCAATAAGAGATCATTTATCATGGTATCTTTCTTGTTTTTCATAAAATGGGTTTATATTTACATTATAAATAGAAACATTAAAAAAATATAGATATTTTAGAAATCGATTTTTTGTGAACCGATACATCAGCTTACGATTTGAATCGATTTAAATATCGACCTTTTTCGGAAAGAATCGACATCCCTATTGACGTCGACAATGACATTACAAAATGGCGCCAGTTTATTAGCAGATTAGACATAAACATTGCAAGAATAATTGATTTTCAATTATTCTTTTCTCAAAAATTACACGTTTCCGTATATTGATACTTTGTGTGTGTGCTTATAATAGTGTAATCTTTCTGTAAAATACGTATCAACACCAAACTCCACTGACGTCAATGGAAAGCTAAGCCATCTTTGGCACTAAACAAAAGCCTAATCCAAAGCTTAGCTTAGCTACAAGTATTGTGAATGAAATGTTTCAAAATGTATAGTATGTGTCAGGTTGTCACATTAAAAAATAGGCAATCGCACATAGACCAGTTTTAATTTTTCCATTTTTTTATATTTTGTCTTTGTTAACTGGTTCAAAATCAGAATTGTTGTCACAAAAATAACATCATGGCTGCAACGGTAATATGTCATTTGTCAATCAATGACGTTTAACGTAATAATAGGAAAGGATCTATGTTAGGATTTGGAAGCCTCTCATATAAAATTTATTTAAAAAATAAGAACTTATTTATTTTCTCTGTTGTGACTCCAATGACTAACTTGACAATAGTGGAATTTTATTAAAAGAAGCCATAAAGGAAAGATGAAAAAGAATTCTATGTATAATATACCTAGAATAGAAATATAATCTAGAATTCACCATTTTTTTTAACTAAATTAGTAATACGACATATTAAAATTTGAATAAATTAGTACTTTTTGAAGCACTTAAGTATTTAAACTAATTAATTATATATGTCGTTTTCACGAATCCCACTTTTTTTGAGGTAGAATTTTCACAGATCTGACCCATTTTGAAATATCTTATTAACAAATTTCAAATATTTAAGTTATCACATAGCTATGGAAGAAAAAACATACCAAATAAACTAGTGGTTGTTGTTGCGGTGCTAGTGCCACCAAGTAACCCAAAACTGGACTGCGCAGCTGTGGTGGTGCCAAAGCCGAAACCCCCTAAACCTCCCAGTCCTGTCTTAGTAGTAGCCGGAGCTCCGAAATTTAGCCCTGAACAAACATAAATAATAGCACATAATACACAAACTATTCAAAATATAAAAAAACAGAGACTAACAATCTCTCAGTACTGACTGATACAACAACAATATTATGATTGTTATAAAGTGTACCAAGCAAGTGCTATATTGATTTTAACTGACTTCAATCATGATAATATCCTCCAGAACGAATTTCGCTCATAGCCTCGTCTCAACAGAGACTAACCCTCTGTGCAGAACATGATTATAGTGTGAGTGCAGAGCGTAACTGTGGCACTCTCTATTCCCTCATTCTCATAGTCTGATGAGATGGCAAACAAACAGGGCCGAAGAGATCAGTCTCAGGAAGAACAGCTTGACGTGGTTTCCGAGGCACAGGGGTGAAACACCGCCAACTTTCTGACTGTGGGCTGCTACAGAGAATTATTTAACAGAAAATCTAAATAAATAACGTTTATCCACCCAGGGTTCTAACCTGGGATCTCATGATCAGCGATCGCGTTTACGACTACTAGACCAACGAGGCAGTCATAGAAAAAAACATGATATGATAATATATATATATGGAAAATTAAAAAAAAAGTAAAATCTGACTAGAAAAACCTAAAAGGAATAAAAAAATTAAATAGCTTTTGAAGTTGGTGTATCAAAAACAAAAAAAAATGTCTCAATAAGGTAATTAGAGTCTATCTACATCAGTGAAGGCATCCACAACTTCTCCGCCACATGGCCGCGCCACTCAGTACTTAGGTAAACTATTTGAGAGATTTCATGGAGGGGAAGGTAAATTATTAAAAAAATATAAAATTAATTTGTTTATTTTTTATTTTCTTCTGAAATATTACTTATATTTTAAATTAATTAGAATAAAAATTGATTAAAAACCTCCTTGTATTCTTAAAAATAAAAGCAAAATTAAATGAAATTTAAAATGTGCAAAACATTAAATAACAACCACAAAGACATTTTTTGTGTAAGTACATAGGTACATATATTAGAATCCAAAAAACCTTTATTTGAAACGCAAGTCACTCACCTCCTAGGTAATGGTGACACTGTGTAACAAATAAATTCCTTCAGTCCCAACTAGCGACATATTTGGATAGTGGAAAATATTAGCCCCTCATTTTAACCAAATCAGTGTATAGTTGCAGCCTATATATATGTAACACTGCTGGGCACAGGCCACAGGCAAAGAAATGATTCTGATAGAGTTTTAGGGCAAGGAAAAGTCTGCAGGGCTACCCCAATGCGTGTTGGCAAACTTCACACACCTTCAAAAATTTTTTTTCTTATTTCTCAAACATGCAGGTTTCCTCACAATGTTTTCTTTCACCACCGAGCATGTTTACCACATCATCACTTAAAATTGAAATTAACAATTTCATTGGTGCCAGGGGTGATAAAATCTGGGTTGCTCGCATTACAGCGAGCACTTATCCCCTGAGCTAGCATGGCTCATCAGCCAAATCAGAGTAATATATTATGTATTGTATTAGTTACGATGTTCTCTATATATACAACACAACCAATAATTATTAACTTCTATAAATATCAATTAGAAAGTTAGTTGGAAAGGACAATTAGCTAACACAATAAAATAATATGTTCATTTTTGTATAACAAAATATTAATGACTATTTTTTATTTTACTACTATATAAATAATAAGGGTGACAAATGAGCACACAGTCCACCTGATTGACAGTAAGTGGTTGCTGTGGCCCATAAACTTCTACATTTATCCTCAATTACAAATCAAAATGCAGATGTGTTGTCACCCGTGAGGACTAAGATGGAATGCCTCGTTCCCAATAAAAAGGGTCTCCAGTAAAAATGGTCTACACTCACCAAATGAAACACAGCAGCATTAACCCGTGAGAAGGCGCTCTATGAGCAATTTGCTTACACAAAAATATAATTCAAAAATTTTTTGTCTTTCCCTTGCCACACCAATTCAAGCACTTAAGTAACTTCCTAAATATTCACCCCCTCTCCCCTGACGCAATTCTCGATCCGCTCAGTGGCGTTGCGACCGCGCAGCAAGGCGTTTGTGGAGGCCGTGTACCAACGTGCGGCAATTTGCTCATCACGCGCCCATCCGTGTAAGTATTTATTTTTGTGGTTTAAAAAAGTTAGATTGTTATTTCTGCCATATTATTTGTTATTATTAAATTATTATTATTATTTGTTTGATTTATATTAGTTGATTATCATGTAAAAACTCTTTAGTAATATGTTATTATTTTTATTTTTCTTCTAACTACACTACAGATACAAAATGGACGATCGAATGCAAGCACAAATTCGTTCATGGTTGGAAGAGGATTCTGGTGATGAATTGGATGCAGATCTTGAAAATGGGGAACAATATCGTGTTGACACCATAGAAAGCGATAGTTCTGTCATCCGTAGTCCTCACGAAACTGATACGGAGCAATCGTCGGATGAAAACGATGCTCATATTTCTACTCCCGCGACTCAACAACAAAGAGGTAGGATCCCATACTATATTGGCAAAGATCGTTCCACAAAATGGCTTATCCACAAGTCTTTACGTAACATACGTACTAGGAGTTATAACATAGTTATCCATCTGCCAGGAGTAAAAAATGTAGCTAAGAATGCCAAAGAACCTTTACAATGTTTCTCATTGTTTGTGGATGATACCATGATAGACAAAATAGTCCTGTACACGAATGTGTACATAACTAAACTACAAGAAAAGTTTTCACGTGAACGGGATTGCAAGCTTACAGATGCAGTTGAAATAAAAGCATTGATCGGAGTTTTGTACATGGCGGGCTTTAAAAAGATCTGTCATTTAAATGTAAAAGAAATGTGGCTAGATGATGGAACAGCATGTGATTTTTTTAGAGCAACCATGTCAATAAAAAGATTTTTATTTTTGTTACGGGTTTTGCGATTCGATTTTGCGTTGCTATTATGTTTAATAGTTTTGATTAAAATACTTGTTTTCTTACTTACTAAACCTTGTGTTATTTATTTAAATACATTATAAGCCAATAAATATAGAAACACTAAAAATATGAACATTTATGATAGTGTGAGCAATTTGCTCGCACGCGCCTACTCGTGTAAGAAAATTAGGCACGCCTTCTCACGGGTTAAGCTGCTATTTTACGCTGGTGTTCTGTGAGAGCATAGTCCTTCCTTAGTCGAGCCGACCCATTCGTGCTGCAGCATGGCTCTACCACGTATATCTCTTGTTTCAGTTTCCCCGTCTTCAAAACAGTAGCAAGTAGCAGTAGTGGTAGTTCTATTATGCCAACACTATGTGGTGAATGTATTCAAAATATATTTATCCTAGTTATTATGTGAAAGGTTTATTCACAATGGACTGCTTACAAGCTGATGAGGGTGGCTTTTCTTAAGAAATTAAAATTGCATTTGTATAAAATGCAATCTTAGACAATGAAATTGAAAAAAAAATAGACACACTCATTATACAGTACATATACAAAATACAAATAGCTCTTACCACTTGAAGCAGTAGTGGTGGTAGCGGCACCAAAATTAAGTGAGCCAGTACCCAGGCCTGAGGTTCCAAATGATGGGGTGGTAGTCGCCCCAAATGCTGGAGTGCCAGAGGTACCTGTCAATATATTTTAAACCTTTAATGTTTATATTATATTATCATTGTATCATGATTGGACGTCTCAACTTGGGGTGGAACCACACTCATACAGAATACTAGCGTAAAATAGCAGCTTAATGCTAATTTGTTTTATATGGAAATTGTAATGAACCAGAGACCGTTTTTAAGGAAATAAGGCATTCCATCTTAGTCCACAAGGGTAATAACATGTCTGCATTTTGATTTTTAATTGGAAATAGATGTAGGTAGGCATCCACTTTCGATCAAGTGAGCTGTTCATTTGTCACATTGAAAACTATCTTCTCTAATTTCACACTATAACAATTTGGGTTTAAGACTATCGGTATTGTGATGCAAATAATTAGGTTTTCAAAATAAATGTAAGTATTGTTATACCTACTATACTAAGTTTAAAATTTTGCTACTCTAAAAGATAATCGTGTATATAACAGGATCAAAGTAAAAGTAAAACCCAGCCACGACAAAAAATGTTCATTTATTAACTTTTATTTAAATTATTTCAGGTTAGCTATCATTGGATAGGTAATATAATTTTTATAAATCGTTTTTAATGTAATCCTCTAGTAGGGCCTAAATCAGTCCTAATGATTTAAAATGTTATAATTTTAAAATTTTAGAAGCAATGACAATATGATAAATACGACTCAATGTACATACCAAAAGCTGGAGTTGTAGTAGATCCAAAGGCTGGAGCAGATGTACTAGCTCCAAAACCAGTAGTTGAAGCCCCACCAAAGGCAGGAGTTGTAGACGGTGCACCAAAAGCAGGTGTTGTCGTTGCCCCAAATGAAGGCGCAGCAGAAGTTGCCCCGAACGCCGGCGCTGAAGAAGTCGACCCAAACGCAGGCGTGGTTGTAGATCCAAAAGTGGGTGCAGTAGAGCTAGCTCCGAATGCAGGAGTTGTTGTAGCCCCGAAAGCAGGGGTCGTTGCGGACCCAAAAGCTGGAGCAGTGGAAGTTGTTCCAAATGCAGGCGTCGAACTAAGGCCAAAGCCTGTGCCTGTGCCAAAAGCGGGAGCAGCAGAAGTATTGTTAAAAAGACCTGTTGATGGCTGTGAAGTTGCTGGCAAACCAAAACCTGGTGTTGCCGGTCTGAAATGAGTAAATAAAAACAAGTTGAGGTTATAATGTCACTTTTAAAAATGTAAAGATCAAATGTCTGGTTATAAATTTAAAAAAAAGTCTGCTTATAAATAAAGAAAAGAGTATTTTAGTAAAGAGTATTATTATATGCTTGGATTTAATATTAATACTAACTTATTTGCGCCAAAATTAAAGCCACCCGTAAGCGATGTATTAGCAGGAGCACTTGAGGGAGTTCCAAACGAAAAAGACATTTTGACTCAGACTGTAACAACTAAAAATTATTAATAATATCCATATACAAGTTAATATTAATTACATAGGCACAAAAAACAATAAAAATAACTTGGACCGTTATGAATTATAAATTATTTCATTGAAATAGAATGAGAAACTATGAGAAATGTTTTTTTTATTAATATTTTTGGCTTTGATGCTTGTCATTTAAGCCACGTCTTCATTTATCTCAGTACAAAAATTAAATATCACGTGATACCAATCCTTTAAAGTACTTGCTTCACAATATGTTGATGCGTCACAATTAGTAGTTTTTGGGAGATTTCGATGACAACTTGAGCCAACAGACAGTGTGCGATAGTATCTCAAGGCGCGTAAGCAGACAGACACCTTATTTTAAGATTCACATCACCATCGGAGCATTTGTTTCACCGTTTCAACTAATATTTCACATGCGCAGACATTTAATACACAAAATCACACCACTTTTAGATATCATAATCCACTTCAAACCATTATTTAAGCAATAATACAGAAAGAGCAATCCGCTGCCACTCTAGTTCCCGCTAAAACTCTTCCAAGGGATTTTTTTAGCTTGGATGTTTATCCTTAAAGCCACGTCTTTATTTCATTCGGGATCTTTGTTTGCATAGATTTTTCATTTCGGATTTAATGTATTTGTAAATAGGCAGAAAATATTTCACATTTTTCAAAGACATTGTGATGAATAGTTCTAATTTGATTACAATGTGGGCACAAGTTCGAGGACAATATATTAAGTCGAGCAAGGTGTGCAGGAGTTTTATGGTGGCCGAACCGCAGTCAATTTATAGTCGTAATATAGTCACGACTTGCTATTTTCTACCACAGTTTTACAAGTATTTCGTCCTGGATAATTCCATACCACTTACCTTTGTTTTCTTCGAAATTCTTCTACATATTTTTCCATAATAAACGGATATTCGTTCTTATTTCAGTGGATTTATTACTTTACATGCAGTCTTTTCGGCGATTTCATTTCCAGTAATACCTGTATGTGAAGGAATCTTTACCGCCCTTTCTTCACTAGTTAAGTATATGTTCCCTTATATTATACACAATGTAGTTAGTTTTAAAAGGAATTGAGTAATTTTACAATAAATTAAACTTAGAGCATTGGTTAATATAAGAAAATATATTCATAATTATTTACAAAATAAAATGAATGTAAACTTCATAATTTAAGGAAGAAAACTTGTGGGAACCAGTCAAATTAGATTGTTCTGTTAAGGCCATTAGGTAATTATTGTAATTAATTTGTTTATAGTAATCATATTGAAATATTTTGCTGGTGAAATAAAAAACGGTGATACGGGGACAAGTAATTGCCAAGAAACCTAGATGGACTGGTGTATTTGAATTTTTTACAAAATGAATTATCAGTCTCTTAGAAGAGGTGCCTTTGACAGTCCGTCCCATTATGTGGTTGCAAAGCGATGGATTCCCACCACATTACGCTACATCCGTAACAGGGTACCTGAACGAGTGGTATAAGCAGGTGATTCGACCTTTTGGGACCTATTTTGTGCCGATCACGATCGCCCAACTCCGACCTAAACCCACTAGATTTTTTATTGGGACTGCTTAAAAGAAAAAGTCTACAAAAAACTAATCACAACAATACAAGAACTCCGTCAACGTGTTTTGGACGCAGCTCGAGGAATTGGAGAATGCAGGTATTCGCGGCTATTGAAAAGATCGTTCATAAGAAGATTTAGAGCCTGTAGAGCATGCATAGAGCAAACAATTGAAACATTTATTATAATTTCTTACGTGGTAGAGCCATACTGCAGCTATATCAGTAGTATAGTTTTAGCACGAATGGGTCGGCTCGATCGGGGAAGGACCACGTTCTCACAGAATACCAGCGTAAAATAGCAGCTTAATGCTGCTGTGTTTCGTATGGTGAGTGTAGAGAACCGGAGACACTTTTTACCGGAAATGAGGCATTCCATCTTAGTTCTCATTTGATTTGTAGTAGAGCATAGATGTAGATGTCTATGGGCCGCAGCAACCACTTACCATCAGGTGGACTGTGTGTTCGTTTGTCACCCTTATGCTATAAAAATTTAAATAACTCATATGGAATTTTGGTTAATTATTATTACACCCAAACCACCTCATAGAAGCACTCCTACAGATTTCCGAAGCATGTCTTATTTTTGAATCTATTTATTTTTTAAGAAAATTGTTGATCCTGCACTTGTGGCTACCCCTGGAACTTCCCGCTATATTCGATCTCAAAACGCTCGACAAATATTTTTACGAACTTATAGTAAACTCATAACATCAAAAACGATCCGAGTAGAAATTTCGAAGTAGTTCACTTTTTTTTTTAATTTTTTAGACAAAGATAAATTTCGAATGGATCAACCGATTTTGATGTAATTGGTGTCGACAAGGTAGGCATTTTAAGAAGAATAATAAAATTTACTACAAGAAAAAACTATTACTATAAGTTCAAAAGTAACATGATAACACTATAAGTTCAAAAGTTATATGAATAAAACACTTTTTTCGAAATCTTGCATTATTGATTTCTCTTCAACGCATCAACTTATTAGATTTTGGAATTGATCGTTACAATTGTTCAAAAGTTATTTCAATAAACATATTTTTTTTTTAATTATATTTTTGAGATTTCTCAAAATTTACCGGTCAAATCGGTTGAAACAGTATGAAAAATTAAAGTTTAGTGAAACCCTATCGAACGCCACCAAGTTCGTTGAAATCGGTCAAGCCGTTCAAAAGTTATGAGAGGTTTACATACATACATATTTACCTAGTCAGGTCATAAGTATTGTCATCACACAGTAAAAACTTTTCTTTTAGAATGCTGGCCACAAAAAAATTTATTGAATTCGAATTTCTAATTGTTCATGAAAATAAAACTGTATACTTTTTAGAATTTTACTCAATTTTAAATATGGAGTGGACGCTTAAAGAAGACTGTGTTGCAGTTATTGCGTTGCATCGTTGCGGTTACGCGCCAATTCAAATTTTTGACATACTGAAAAATTTGAATATAACCAAAAGATTCATTTATCGTACCATCAAACGATACAGTGAAGACTCTAGTGTAGATGACAGGTCAAGAAGTGGTCGCCCTCGGTCTGTTAGGACTCCAGCAGTGATAAAAGCTGTGAAGGCGCGAATTCAAAGAAATCCCAAACGTAAGCAGAAACTGTTGGCCCTTCAGATGGGGTTAAGCAGAACCACGGTGAAAAGGGTGTTAAATGAAGACTTAGGGCTTCGGGCATATCGGAGAAAAACAGGACATCGTTTGAATGCTCGTCTAATGGACCTGAGACTGAACTGAACTGCCGCGCTTTGTTGAAGCGGTACGCGGGAAAAAAATATCGGGAAATTATTTTTTCGGATGAAAAAATTTTTACCGTAGAAGAGAGCTACAACAAACAAAATGATAAGGTGTACGCACACAGTAGTGAAGAAGCGAGCAACCGTATTCCGCGTGTCCAACGAGGTCATTTTCCATCCTCGCTCATGGTATGGTTGGGAGTTTCTTATTGGGGCTTAACAGAGGTACATTTTTGTGAGAAAGGTGTAAAAACGAATGCATTTGTGTATCAAAATACAGTCCTGACGATCCTTGTGGAACCTGTTTCTCATACCATGTTCAATAACAGGCACTGGGTATTCCAACAAGATTCGAGAGCGAAGAGCACACGAGACTGGCTGGCGGCGCGTGAAATCGACTTCATCCGGCACGAAGACTGGCCCTCCTCCAGTCCAGATTTGAATCCGTTAGATTACAAGATATGGCAACACTTGGAGGAAAAGGCGTGCTCAAAGCCTCATCCCAATTTGGAGTCACTCAAGACATCCTTGATTAAGGCAGCCGCCGATATTGACATGGACCTCGTTCGTGCTGCGATAGACGACTGGCCGCGCAGATTGAAGGCCTGTATTCAAAATCACGGAGGTCATTTTGAATTAACTTTAGTGTCATAAGAATCTATGTTTTGTTAAGTTCATTTTGGTATATAAATGGTTACATAATGAATAAACTTGTTTCAATTATTTTATATTAACCATGTGACAGAATTTATGACCTGACTAGGTATAGATTATATAAATATGTGTGTATGTATATGAGTTTATAGATTATAAAGAAAAAGAATTGAAAAGTAAAATTTACCTGACAGTTCAACTTTCAAAAATACTTTCTGTGAAATACAACTAACAATGAATTATTTAGCATGTGCTGGGAATCTTTCCAATTCCTGTAAAGTAATATTCAAGACGACGCCAACTCCAGTGGCAATGAATTTCGTAACGATAAGACGTCCAAAATCTCCAATGCAAAAGCCTGAGCCACCTCCGGTTATACTTTATGACGAACAACTAAAGAGGCTTTCAACGGGCCGTATGAGAATCGAATCGGGATATAGTGAGAGTGCCAAAGTAATTAATTTTCTAAATTTTTGATTGAATTTTAATGGTTTGTTCATGTTGCAATCATAATAAAGACCAATATGTAAGATAAAAAGGAATAAAATGATTAATTAAAATTCTTCACACGAAATTCTTTTTACAATTTAGTATACACCGACTGAAACTAGATGGCGTATCATCTAGTTTCAGTCGTTGGTTTTAATAAGATTTACTTAAATACATTTCAGTAAATTTTACTAGGTGGCGCTTTAACATATCATAAATAATATGTTATTTTTACAGAATTAATGATTGATGACAAAACATTATTATTGTGTTTGTAAAATTCAATATGTCTAGTTTTGGGAGATCCGATTCTTCTCTAAAACGTAAGTTTTAGATAAGAATCAGAATAGAGTTTTGTCAAATTTCTTACATTCAACGTACCTATACCTACTAAAATTAACGGACTGAATTTACCCATTAATGACACAAATATAATATAGAAATAAAATTTGTAATGCATATATTATATGCATTACAAATTTTAATCAAAGCAAAGTGTTGGAAATATAAACATAAC